GTGTACTAGACCCATGCCACTCATCTAGTTCATGAGGCAAGATAGGTTGAGCACCACTGGCAGGGATCACCCATGACTTCTATGGTTTCCCATGACAAGTGGTTCCCCACATATACAGAGACGAAAATGAATCATGGCCCTAATTTGATATTCACAAATATACAATACTTGGAAGATAGACAATACTTCTTTTCTGTGCTCTAATAGAAAAGTATGAAGAAGCTAAAACAGATATTATACTGTTGCCTATCAATCAGATACTTTGTCTATTGAAAAAAATAAAAACATTCAGTCAGAGAAATTTTAAAATAAAAAATAAACTATATTTGTTCTCAGAGGAATGGCTTCTTTGCTAACAGTATTGATGTTCTACTAATCTGCTGTTAAGTATAACGGAATGAACATTCAGGCAAGAGAATGACAAAGGAAACCTATCTAAAAACATAACATAGTTTGTGGAAATTCTATATTTTGGAAATGCAAAGCACATTTTGTACTTTTATTAACAAGATTATCTCCTTTTCACTTAGTTTGTAGAAGAATTATAGATTTCTGACAAACATCCCTCAAAGACCTATTTTTCAGTCCATCATGTAAGTGGCCCAGCCAACTTCTTTTATTATGCTCCTTATGAATTTGACCCTGCCCTGATAACTGGTATGCTACTTTTTCAGCTTTTGATTAATGTATTTTTGCTTCAGTTTTCAGTAAAGAGGCTGTTTGGCAGGAAAAATTTGCAATGTGATATTTTCTAAATACAATTAGCCTCAGGGAGAAGAAGGAGGGGGCTAAGTGCAGATAATGAGCTTTGCTTCCCTGACAGCACGTTGTCCAGATACATTTCTTGTTCTGAAATTCAAATTATATAAACAATAGTTTGTGGCAGAGCAGAGCCAAGAGGATTCTAGTTCTGATGAGAGTGAGATACAGGTACAGAGAGAGACAAGCCTCTTCGTTGTCAGTCTGTTTGCACAACATGGATTGCTTGTCCTTACAACAATACCATTGCTAACTGAGAGTCAAAAGACAAAACACTTCACATTCAAAGTATGTCATAGGCAAGTTCACAAGAAGTGCCAGACAGGAAAGTAAATGGGTCCTGAAAATACACCAGTCCTGGTTGAAACCCAGTTTTGATAGTGGCATTGGAGAGACACAGAAAGCTCTCAAATACAATTGATAACATGACTGAGAAAGGGGGGGTGGGATTTTAAGCTAGAGAAGGGATTTCAAGCTACAACACACACTTTTGACCTCAAATCAACCTCCCCACTGT